GCTACAGTGCTTGCACCCAATAGAATGACGTCATATCTAGCGTTCGTGCCCTCCTATTTTGGATCCGATGATTTGTCTTTTCACGTGATCTGCAGGACATGGGACATCATCGGTCCCAGTGACAAGCACGCTGTCACCTCCCAGCCGAATTGAATAGCTGTTTGTCATTTACGTGTGATGACAAGGGATTGCAAAGTAGGTTGATGTGTTCACTCGAATCTTGTTGGAAAATGTTGGCACCTTGTCGTTGGTTGTTTCGTCTCTGGCATGTTTCCAATCTTTCTGTTCTTTTTACACTTAACAGCAACCATCAACGCTCACTCGACAGCTCCGAATGATACGCACAGCTGAGTTTGTTTGCTGGAATCACCACGACAGCGAAACTCAGAGGAGCTTGCATACCACAGGCAATATCAGAGGAACAAAAGTATACAGAATACTTCACACACCAAAACTAGGATCGTGTGTGCTATGGGAGAACAACATACTGGAGAGAATAGGGAGAACCAAGAGAACCGGTTACTCTGAAGACCGGCGGAAACGTGAGTGTCTATTGCATGGAAATTAAACTGTCAATGCGTAGCATAGAAATAAGGTGTACCATGACAGTCATAGACCATTTGGCTAGTAAGCCCAAGATAAGAAAAAAACGACGAGGGCTTCGTCAAGCACCAGAGTCATGTGCCGATAAACAACAACGCAAGGACCGAAAACTACGGTGAAAGTAGTAGTGGTAGTTGTCGTGTGCACGTTGTATTCACGTCTCACCAGCCTTTATTCTTTTGTACATGAGAGCACACACACAAGATGTGTAGTTCTACGATGAACAAAGCAAGGGTGTCCAAGTATGTAGGATATCATTATTAGGTCAATATGCGGGTGAGCGAGAAATCGATGAGCAAGGATGCAAACTAACAAATTCATGTTCAAAGAACACTTCTGCCAAACATGACTCCCTTGACATTGTTGTGTGACCTGCACAACAGACCTGGAAACGAAAACTGTTTATACAAATATCGATTAATCTACATGTAGGGAGAACGCACGGCAATCGTCGCAATGAGTGTGGGGTAAATTGAAAGTGCAGTTCAAGAGAAACTTTGATTTGACGAAGAATGGCAAACTAGAGGTGATCCGTAAACTGAGGTGCATTATCTGGGAGATGCAGTCCGCAGGCCTAACAGAATAATATGAATTAGTCAGTTTAATTACAAAAAATCAACAGCCAAGCTTAGGAACCGGTCTGCAAAGGTTCCCTAAAGATTTGAGGAAATCTCACAAGTGCGCTGTTCGAGTGGACATTTCATTCTCCCTTACTTAAGCGATCTGGAAGTACCGTTCAAATCTAATCACGACCTAATCGTCTCAAATACTGCAAAGAGATACGCAGTGGTGAGTGAGGTAGCCCGAGAATTGCATGGTGCTCGTGAAACTGACGTATGTCGTCTGCTACCTTGGTATGTCCAACCAACATACTTTCTAAAACGAGGAGGCTAGGGCATCCCGAGAGGCACGTCGAGTGTGTGAAACTGAAACCAGAAGGAGTACTCTTAAAGAAAGCGTCTGCGACGAAGTCTGCAAATAAATAGAGTAGACAGGCTCACCAGACCTGAACACCAGTCAGAAATCCGTCACTGAGAGGCGAAGGAATAATTGTGAAGTTGTGAGTTGGTCATTTGTAGCTCAGAGTGTGGTGTTCACCTAATCTACCGAAAACTGCATGTGTGAGTCGTAATCACGGCTTGGAAACCGTCTGTTGTTGCTGAGGTTCGCATAACATCAATGGACTACACTGTGTTACATGCCTTCAGAACAAGTATCGAGCAAGATCCACAGAATAAAATAAACTGGAGTTTGCGAACTGTACGGCCAACCTAAGAAACGTCAATTCGTTCGGCTTTAACAAGGATGAGGACACGTTACAAACATTGATGTACGGAGAAGCCCCTCTCAGTTTCATATGTTTCACGATGAGCGGATGACGAAAACGAAAAAATCTCAAGATGTCTTGATGCGAACGGTAGTGTTTCAGTGAAAAAAGGACAATATACTACATAAATAATCTGAAGTGAAACCATAAATGGCAAAAAGAGTTGGGATCACAACTTCTCACTCGAAGGACCGTTTGATCGGTGCAACGGATATGCCAATTGATGCAAAGTATAACCCCGCAGCCTGTGAGGATGAAACCTGTTGACACCAGAGCTCCGGGAAAGACGTATTCTAAATAACCATCATTATCATCAATGTGCAGAAAAGACGTAACAGTGATGTAGTTGCACAACTGTCGTCTTCAGCTATGGGTGGAACACTCATCTTCATTTTCATCACCATCAGAGAAAGCAACATCAGTGTTGACACTGATGCATCACTGCTGTACAAACATAAAGTTCATCTAATTATATTTGAAGCCCTAAAGTGAAAAGAAGAGAAATGTGAGAGAGGGGACATAGTGCTGCCGAAGTCAAGTATTATGACGAGTTGGAAAGAAACTGACAGCACGAACGCTGCTGACATCGGTCAGCAGCCATTTCTTGCAATGTCTCCAGCCAAACACATTGTGGGGTCACGGGGACCTCATCATGGAAGTCGTACAACACCAACAACACCCAAACTCTTCGTGATCTCGTTCACACCTTTCTGTAAAGTCATATGCTATTCACCTCGAGGTTTGTACCATCCTGAAAGGGACAAGGAGGTAGATGGTGTTTTGGCATGCGTAGAACATGACCGAGCCACCGCAGCTGGTGGTAACAGATATTTTCCGCGACTGAAGTACCTCCAGAGGCCAAGTTTCGCAGCGATACAACAGCCTTTAGTGTAGCCTGGTACACGCAACTCTTAAGACCCAGTGATATGTCTCTTAGACGCCACAAGTGACGCAAATGAGCAAAGTGACTCGACCCTTCGAGATTCTTGCGCTAACTTCATCAGACACATTCTCGTCAGAGCTAACACAACTTCCGAGCTATGTAAAACTCTCCACAGCATCCAGTGATCCTCCTTGAGTTGTAGGGAGTAGCTTCAGGGACTGTACGTTCTGAAGCGTGAATTTGCACACTGAAGGTGAAAGGCGCACGCCGGACGATGGTATTACGGTGGTCGGTCAATTCAGCATGGCTTGTGCTTCGCCTTGGTCTTCAAAGATGAGGGCGATGTCGTCTGAGTACTCCAAATCAACAAGGTTCTCACTAGCATCAATTTGAACGCAGGAGTTCTAAAGACCTTCCAGTGTTCGCCTCATTATTTCAACGACGAGGTTGAACAAGAATGGATGGAGTGGACATTCTTATCGGACACAACTTTTTGTAGGGAATCTTTTGAAGTGCTCAGCATACACTCTCACACTACCAGAAGTACGTGAATATGGGCACCAGATTATGTTCACAGACTTGTGGTATGCTCTGTCAAGCAAGTGTAGTTGACAACACTGACGATCGATGGGATCAAACGCAGTCTTAGAGTCAAGGAACACCAGGATTGTGGGTCGTCTGTACGTGTGTCGTCACTCTAAGACGAGACGGAGTATGAAGATGTGGTCAACACAGCCTCTATCTGGTCAAAATTCCGCTTGATTCTCACGAGTCGAGGTTTCGCGTGACGAAGAATCAGTGACGCCGGAAGCCTTGTCACAGCAGGAGTCAAACTAACACCACCACTGCGAGTACGTTTTTGAAAATAGGCACTGGTTTCAAACGTCACTAACTTCGGCTCTGTAAATTATACCGAAATTGTTGCGGATCCACGAGCACTGACCTAGCATAAGCGAGACAGTGAACCACATGACGGGTCCCAGAGACAAATCATTTGATCGTTGGGATAAACAAGATCAGTTAATCGTTGAACGTTACAACAGAAATGCGAAAAGTTGGTGGTGAATCAAATAAAATGAAATAATGGAAGTGCAAAGGTTCGCGTGCACATACGGATACTGAGATTTTACGGACCTTCATGGAGCAGCAAAGCCCACAGACTGAAATCCCTCAGGAATAGCAAATCGTGCTTGTTTCACTTTTGCAATTCTCTCAAGCACTTCATTCGTTTTTCCCGGTAGCATATACTGGTCCATTATACCTTCACCAAGGTATCAGCAATTTGTTTGCTACGATATACCCCATGAGCGGCTTAGGGCTGTCACTGCCCGTTGCCTATCAATAACATTCAGGCCCTGAGTGCAGCAACATCCAACAAGCTTTGCCACATTCCACGGAAAATGAAAGTGATGCTTATCGTAAAGCACACGTGCATACTGTGATCCGATGAATGCCATCAATTAGTCTAAAGGTGTCATTGTCAGTTCGATTGCGTCCAACGAAATGCGTATATTCTATTGTCATATGCTATTCTCAATCCACCATGAACTTGAAGAACGTTTAACTTGGATATCTGATCAATCGTTGTGTTTTGATCTCTATGAGAATTGTACCGTATTTTAGCCCCCTTTACCTACTGATGACACATCAGCGCATACGTCAGTTCGATGAAACCTGGAGCGCACCGACTTTCCCACACCACTGGTCCAGGCGCTAGACCACCCACAATAGGCTGTGTAGATACAAACGCTTTCGAAAAAACGCACGCATCGCACCTGATCTCACGAAACCACTGTAGATGAATCATCACAATGAGCCTCATTGGGATGCATCGGCCGATCGATAGGCTCAACTCCGCAGAGCGAAAGTGAGGCGGGGCTGGTGAAGTAAGGGTTGGTGAATATGCTCCAGTCAGGCGTTGGCAGGTAATGTTATCACGCTGATCTCGTGGCTTTGGAGAGCTGCCTCGGGACCCATTTAGGAATCACATTATACAATGAAGCCGCAACGAAAGGACCATCTAATGGATTGAGATAAGGCTTGGAGTACATGCGTCAAACTAGGCTTTGTATGAAGCCATACAAACACAAGTTCCCAACTTCAAGCAGAAATAGAGTTTCAACAGATGCACGATATCTCCGCGAACAGCTCAGTAGCCTTGGTGACAAATAGAACATAAAAACTAACCTGATACGAATTTCATGAGAGGCGAAATAGAATGGTTGACAGGCGCACCAAAGCCTCATCACTTTCGCCATAACAGGTTGACCGAGAGGATCTGGTACGCTGGATAGAAAATCGATAACTGCCTGTGGCTGCAGACGACACAGTACGATAAATACGAAAACCAGGCTTTGTCGCGCACCACCTACACTACCAGCTACAAGGTCTGACGTGTTGATGGCCCCATCATCGAGCGTGTACAGCGTCCGAGTTGAACCTGTTGGGAGAATGAGTTGTAGGTATGTATGTAGGTAGTTGTAGGATGCGTTGAAATGGTATGTTTTCGTTTAAGATCCAATTCAGTTCTAAAGAATAGATGAAGTCTAAGAAGAGGTAAGCCTAGCATTGTTCGGTAATTCGAACTATCGAAAGAGCGGAACCTCTCAGCCAAACCTTGCTGTCATTATGTAGAGCGCCAGGTTCCAGTGAGACCCTTGGAGTGCTGAATTCTGATATGTGTAAATAGATGTAGGACGAACCAATGGTAGTATTGGATACATAGTGATTACTTGTTAGACAAAACATGTATAGTACTGCTAAAAATAGCTTCCTCTAGCGGGCGACAAGATATCTCGTTTTTCTGTGCGCAAATACGTTTGACATGTTCCGTTGAAACCCGATGATTCAACATTGAAGTGCTTCCAAAATTGAGCTGATTTCCCAAACGTTCAGTTCGATCACTTCAGGTATTCGGCTGCCTGTGTACCACGGGTTCGCTAGGGCCAGGTATCGATACATTCGCTGAGAAGAAGGAACATGCTAATGGGCAGCAAAATACACGAGGTGATAGTTCAGTCAGTTCACAGGCACCGAATTGTTCTTGTATCCTGATAACGTAGTTCATCAGGACATTCACACATCGTTGGTGATGGCTTTGATATTTCGTGGCTGAGTCAAGTCTGCCAGTGTTATCAGCCGAAGTTATTTATTCTCGCAGGGGTCTTCCAGCGTTGCTTAATGGTTGACTAATGGCTACTGCCTTCAAACTTCCCTGCCAAATCATCAACCGACCACCTGTATTCATCGGAGCAGAAGGAATTCTACGAGGTAGCCGGTACTATGAAGTGAACTTTATTACCTTATTGATGTAACGTAACAAGCTTGTCCAATGTGCGACAGCTTGATATTCCGAAACTGGATTTATTGTGCCCAAAAGAATAGTCAGTCGATTGGGCGATTAGAAGGTCATTTGCTTCGTTAATACAAGGGGAAACCCGCGAGCAGGGCAGGACAATAGAAGTGATAAATGTGGGCATGATGATATGGGGCACAGAAGTATTTTTGAGTCGCAGTGAGTGGAAATAAAACCTAAGTGTTCTGTTAAACGGATTTTCAACTCGTCCCGAGAGGTTCGTTACACACGTAAATGAAGAAGAAGCTTAGGCACCATTAGCTCATCAGAAGAAAAGCTGAAACATTTTGAGAGATATGAGTTCAGTTGAATCGAAGACACTGTAGCGAGGTTGTACCAGTTTACCGGTTCTTCCAAAATCGTTTGTAGCAGAAAAAATAGGTATAAAGTGGGCAGATATTATCTCAATCTAATTCGCATACGTGGGGTCAATTTGGTAACTATGGTTCGACAGGTCTCTAGCATATAAGAAAGGACAACAGCGATAATGGCATCCTGAGGAACACCAGAGTTAGTTATCTCTTGTAAACCGAGTTTGTTGTGTGATTACAGTTTGACCGCAATATCAAGCGCGTTGAAAAAAAGTCTAAAATGGCATCCTGAGGGATGTTCGAGTCCCTTTCAAGTCAGGAACAATGACATTCATATAAGACGTTGGAGCAAACTGACACAATGTGAACTATGCGCTGATATTTTTTTCAGGACTGGTCTGTCACAGTGGACCCACGGCAGAATGAGTGATGCCACACGCGGTTTGCGCTGAACTCCGTGTGTAACCAGCGGAGCGCCCTTCATTCGGTGTAAAAACGATAAAGGTGAGTCGGGAAACAGCGGCGGGTAGGTCTACAGTCATCAGCACGACAAACTAATGGCATTTATTTGGTAAAACACCTTAACGGCGGAAACCCACCTCGAACACGGAGGATACCTCAGTGGCCGACAGTACTCATAAGACGTAACATCTGCACATACGGTTGGACATTGCTAAAAAACAGTCGCTTTGGTCTGCGACACAGTGGTAAATAAAAGTCGCCGCCACAGGCTCAACAAGTCGGAATCTAAGTTCAACAAATATCGAGTTTCCGTTCGTTCGTTCATCCTGTGTTCCAGCCCTATTGCTTTAAGTTCGTACTGCGGTGGGTACATACGTTTCCTGCTTCATTGTCCAGGCAATGCTTTGTGTCATTATCCAACTTAAATCCGTTTCAGCAATTAAAGGACGGCGAGGCAACTGATCAGCTGGTAGAAGAAGCGCAAGACAAACCTGGCGCAATTCTGGTGCAGCTTAACCGAACAATCGATAGGAGAAGCAGGTGATTTGTTGCCACTCGTCACAACTCAGCAGAATTAATCCGGTGTTTTGATGATAATTAGGCCATGATGCCGGAAATCAATCAGCTCACTAATACGTCCAATTGTATAGAACACACCCGATTTCATTTCCCAGGTGCTGACGACAGACCTACTTCAGAAAAAAAACGCCGCTGCTTGCCATTCCACGAATAAAAACACCGTAAGAGTGATTCTGATTTTTTTCCAATCTGTCGTGATTTCCCTGAATCAATCGGTCAGTCCGTTTACTCACCCAATTACTTGCAGTTATAGTAAGCACCTAAACTCGGGCTTTGGTGCATCTCGCAGAGCCATTGGAATCACTGTCACCGGGAATATTATTGAAAACGATCTACCTGCCAGAGATAAATTGACTGACCCAGAAGAAGCGCTTGTTGAAACGAAAGAACGACACAACCGAACACATGAAATCATGACGGCTAGCATGATTGGAATTCAATAGCGGAAAGCCAAAGAACTGGAGTTGAATGTGCATCAATTACGAAAAACGAGACTTGTACGTCACCTTCAAATGAATTTTGCCTTCAGGTTTCGTCTATGATCCGTTGCACATGCACAAGATCGCAGCTGACGAGTCGACCTTGGTGGGTCAGCAGCAGCTTACCAGAACGATACTGACAACCAGTAGGAAAAACTGGCCGTTTTCCATGAACACACAGTTGTATTCATGATACCAGACCTGCACGACCTCCAGCTTCACCCGGGTAAAATTTACCTGAGGCAGGTTTCAATAATCTAACGAGCACTAAACGGCATACTTTAGCGGAAAAAACATCATCTGGCAATTGATAAACATCATGTCTCAGAGTTCGATGTTGCATAGCAGAGGTACTTGGCGACGCTCACCAGTAGGTATCACTTGGGGGCTGTGTTGGAAGTTACTTCCAGTCAAGCGTCGCACCTTATCCTTAGCCGGTCCCCTCCCCAGATGGCTGCATTCCGAAAATTGCTTTGTACTGCATTAATTTTGGGCACAGAGGACTACATCAACTTTTGACAGACTACCTCACAAGTACTCGCGTAAATTTCACGATTTTGTAGTGGCTTCAGCAGAACACACCGGTCAGTGGATTCTTCAGACTGTTAGCTTTCCTGAGGGAATTGGAATGGTTCAGAAGTTCGAGTGAGTTGCTTAAAAGGTGTTGTATCATCCATTACGTTGACAATTGAAATTCCTCACATTTATTCTGTCCCTATTAGCAAACCCTGCTCCATTTTTGTGTTAAGTATGTGTACATGAACTGACGTTTGTTCGTCCTTACCACTTCACTCATTTGGCCTTGAGGTCATCCGGCCATTTGGAGCCGACTTTGTGCACGTGTAACTGCCGCACGTGGGAGCCTGTTTGCTCCTTTGGTTTGTACCTTTGTAGTTCAAGTGGATCATTTGTTTTGGACGAGGTTTGTATAATTTGTGAATTTGTCTCACATTAATGGTACCGTATAGAATCCCAGCTCCGACTTTCTTTTGCCTTCCCGAAGGTTCTGGTATTACGCATCACTCGAAGATATCGTTCGCCCGTCACAGATGTGCTTAAAAAGTTGCCTAAAAAGGTGTAGACGTTTCATTAGGGTGTTGCTTCACTTCGAAAACCATGATACTGATGAAAACTCGCGCCGCCCATCTTCCTGGGTGCCTTGACGAAATGGCCTCGCGTTGGTCTGGATTCACATTGGAATTAAAATTAGAAGCTTTGTTCCCAAAGTCACCCACTCTCAAAAATACTGTTCGGGTAGAAAACTTCGAGGATGCAGCCGATGTGACGGTCAACAGATTCATTTACATTTGACGAAATCATGCAGCACCGGATTTATCCTCTGCCACAATGCCGTCATCAAGGAGATTTATCAATTTAGCTACCTGGTTGTTTTTTTTTGGCCCACCAGATTGATTTCGTAGTGGTCGTTCGTTTGAAATACCCGATCGGTTTCACGAACAAACGAGCATTCATAACCAGGTGACTGTCACCTGTGTTGTGCATCGAGAAATACCTCATGCAACTGTCGATGTCGAGTTCGTACAACTACTAAGTGACCACGTTTTCTCCCAGAAAAAGGTGATATCACCGTGATTGTGCATCGCCTTCTGAACCCATAACGAATGCAACCGTTTGAATGTACCGGTATTCAAAATAAATCAATCTTTTTTCAACACAGTGATTGGGTTTCACAGCAGTACGGCAACAGTGTCCCGGCGTAGACCTTGCCTTCCAGCGACCAGTTACCGTTTTGTCGAACCCAGTCGAGAAGAAGTAGAGTGAGTTTTATAGATCGCACCAGTTATTCTGTCAGTAATGTTGCCGCAATGTTGGCGCGATTGCCCAGACAGGTAAACGCATTTTGATAGTTCTGATGCTAAGACAGAGCCTTTCGTGGTGCACGCACCAAGTATTGCAGTGACACTTTCGGCAGTAATTACGGAATCGCACGGCGACAATATCAGATAATCTAATGGGTTGTGTTCCTGGATGGAATTTGAGTCAAGTGACGCGATTTCGTGTACGTACACACGGGTTTAAAGTTCTTCCACAGAAGGAAGTTGTACGCCAAATTTAAGAGAACTGTCAACAGTTGCTTCTATAAGTAAACGGACTACGAGGTTTAATAAGGAGAGCAATCAGAGGCAGCCTGGATGTATTCCATTTTTCAGGATTCCCACGCGCACAGGACAAAGAGGCCTTTCCCAGTGCTGCAATAGTCCATTGCATTACGTTAAAAACACATGAATAAGCATAACAATCAGACACACTGCAATCTGGATCTGAAACTCGACTAACACAGTCTGTGGGCCAACAGTGTTTATCAAAACATGAACTTGTTTCACTGAGAAATGGAATCCGATTGAGATCAGGGTTAAGGTTTATTAAAATTCTACCGGGTTGTGCAAGCGGATTCGATGCAGAGACGTTGGTAGTATCGACAGGGAAATTAAGTTGTGAAAGCGATTGACTGACTGCCGGGACACGAACAAACCTCAGCAGAGGAAACTTCCTTTCAATCAGTGTTTTTCGCTTAGAGGAAATCATTCAAGACCATGGAGTCATTGACTCCATTGTTCTGTTGTATTCGACAGTTTTGGTCATATTTGAAGAATTCAAATGACTAACAAGGCACATCCCATCCACATAAGCTTATTTCCGACCAAGGGTTCGATCCTGCATCGTGCCTCTGTAGAGAGGACTTCAGAGCAAAAAAGTCAAGGGAAGAGGAAACTGTCCCGGACGTAAAACACCAACCACAAGGTTGTTGAAAACTCTTCGATAGCTAACGATGGGTTTTGCCCCTTTTGGTCTCATCCAGTGGGCACTGTCTCCGAGTTCCCGTCAATCTTATATGATAATTGAGTTGAAAAAGAATGTCACAAGTGAGAGATTCAGTCGAAGTTGAAAGTGAGTCTCCGGTTATAACCAAATTAGTGTGTAAATGAGAGCACTTGAGGGGATTGTTCTCTTTTACGAGAATTCCTCAGCGTACTGGATTTCAGCTGGACGGATATCAGTGTCCATAAACCCAAGTATTGAGATCCAGTAGGAAATCCTTGAATAACTCATAGAAGCATAGTAAATAGGTCTCAGTAAAAAAAGTTACATTTGAAAGGAAAAACAAGTAGACTGGCCGAACTACGTTACGATTTGCATAACAGACGCAGGAAATTAGAACCCTCTTACAGAATACGGATTCCTAATAGTGCGTAATTTCAAATGGTGTGACAGAGTAAATGTGTCACACAAGAAAGAATTCAAACAACGCTGTGGCGGAAAAGACTTGAGTGACGTCAGTATTTTGGACTTGCATGTAGAAACAGATCAACCAACCCTGAACAAACTCAAAAATAACACTGTACACAGAAGCTTGTGAGAACTGTGAAGCTTACGTAAACGAGAATATGCATGAAGCGAGTGCAGATAAACGGTATTCCCACGTCGAAGTCACAGCATTCCCCCCTCCCGCAATTTTTATAACAGAGTGCACCAGTAAGCTCCCAGGAATCACTGCAAACCTTAATAGAAGTTAGCTTACAACTGAGACTAGTGATGATCACCAAGATTGAGAATAAAGGATCAATTCGAATGTTCCAAATCGGTTAATCGAATAAAAAGCGTCGACTTTCCATACACCGACTTTTCATTCATTGAGCATTCAATACGATTACGTATATTTTATCAACGGTTAAGCGGCTGTGCAACCAATTAATCACGAATAAGTCCCATGCTTGCATATTTTCAAGAACTCAGCAGCCTGTTGCGTAGGTCCTGTTGAAATCAAACATGTCGCAATATCCAATGGGTGAATGAGTGAGACCGCAGTGAACAAAGAGACAACCATGTCTACTGTCCAAGGTCAGTAAAAAGCATGGAAGGTCAGAGGACGAAATCAAGAATTTGGTTGGCCCCACTTGAGATACAATACATCACTGAAAGCTTACGATGAACACTTGTCGTGGACTTCCTTGAGTAGTGGTGCATATTGGGAGTGGTCGTCATTTGGGAGGATAACGCAGAAGCGAAATGATGGTAAAGACGCAATAGTATACAAAGTAAGGCAAATGGTTCAGGTGACAACGTGAATAGGCGCGTTGGTTGATATCCAAAGAGCAAAAAGGATAGTATGTATAGACATCGTGTAGACCGGTGATTCTTATCACCTGTTTGCCGCAACAATGATGTACGCAATGTTCAATGTCTCCACTACGTATGTCACCGCTTACCTTTCTAACCCCAGGTCTTCGTTGGGCCGAATGTCAGCAAAAGCTGGCTATTTGGAATCCCTCACACTGCCACGGTTTCTGCGGTGTGATTGGACAAATCCGGGCTCCAGGCCATATAAACATTACAGTGTTTATGCCAGTTGTTGTATACCGGGTACGACCTACAGTGTTGGATAACTGTCATGCGTGTACGAAATCTGGACTTGGATAAACTAGTCACCATAAAATTGGTTGCCAGGTGGAAAAGGATTTCCAGCAAAGTTCAGTAACTTAGGAGCACGAAAGCTCCGAATCTGGGAAAAACTAGACATGTCGTCGGATCTCAGTCCGTAGCTTATCATTGCCTTTAGCAGGCCCGGGCCCCGCTTTTCACACAAGCGCGGCAAATGTGGTTTGCCAGTAATTTCTCTTTCCATTTGTTAGGAAACATAAAATGACAAAGTAGATTAACCTACGTTCGTCATGTACTCCCCGTTTTTGTCCCTTTCTGCTATAAATTCCGGATAGATCTGAAGAAAGTTTTTGAAAATTTTGATCAGCTTAGACACGCCTCCTTCATCACCTTACAATAGACACCTGCCCTTAATCGAATTTCCGAAGACGGGCTGACGGCTATATAAACTGGAAGTAGACAGCTTTAAGATTCGATTAACAGAAGGTTTCTAAAGTGATTGCGATGACACCTACTACTACCAGGGTCGAAAGACTATCAACTGGTTTGGCGCGTATAATAATGCCTGCGTCACGCAAGAAGCAGAAATCTGGGGGGAATCGTCATTCAGGCTACACAACCAATATCGGCACCCCCGTAATTACTTGAATTCCTCCGCCGAATACGACAAAATATGTCTTTAAACAACCGGTAGAAAGTTTATCCAGAATGATACAACATCCATCAAGACATGAGGAACCGAATAACAAGTATTGAGACTTTCCAACTACATTGCGAATCGGGTGTCCTACTACACCTACAATGATCAGATGAAATCAGTCTTTATTAGCGGTCATTCCTTGCGTGATTAAAGTGTGCGCGATATACCTCATCACTGCATATATACACTGAGCTCAAGAACGCTCAGTAGTTAAGGCGCCAGCTTAAAGACTGGAAGGTCCGTTATTCGAACCCAGTCTCAGGATCTCGAGTGACCCCGTCTAGGCGTGGGCAACTTGGCATTATTCTAGTCCTCGTGCCTTCCGTTGGCGTGGCAGCTAAGCACCCAAAGGGTGCTACAGCTAAACGATTGATTTCTCTTATTTGTGCATACAACCGGTTTTATCGGAGGACGACAGCAGCACTCAAAAGCGATAGAAACGAAGAAACACAGTGTCTGTTCGCTCATCTGTAACATCCTTCCCGTGCCTAGCTGCTACGCCACCCCACAGAAGCACAAGGGATGTCAAGTTACTCAAGCCTAGACAGGAGAAGTCGAGATGCTGAATTCGGCTTTGAACTACGGGCATTCCGGTCAATAAGATAGCGTCTTAGTCAATGAGCTATCTCGAGGAAGACGACATTAAGGCATACTGGTTTGTCGGATTTTCAAGTAAGAGCCGAATGTTTCTACACCTTCGATTAGAAGACGCATTTCGAAAGTGGCGAGATCACAAGGTTTGGGCGTGGCAGTAAGCACCCAAAGGGTGCTACAGCTAAACGATTGATTTCTCTTATTTGTGCATACAACCGGTTTTATCGGAGGACGACAGCAGCACTCAAAAGCGATAGAAACGAAGAAACACAGTGTCTGTTCGCTCATCTGTAACATCCTTCCCGTGCCTAGCTGCTACGCCACCCCACAGAAGCACAAGGGATGTCAAGTTACTCAAGCCTAGACAGGAGAAGTCGAGATGCTGAATTCGGCTTTGAACTACGGGCATTCCGGTCAATAAGATAGCGTCTTAGTCAATGAGCTATCTCGAGGAAGACGACATTAAGGCATACTGGTTTGTCGGATTTTCAAGTAAGAGCCGAATGTTTCTACACCTTCGATTAGAAGACGCATTTCGAAAGTGGCGAGATCACAAGGTAGTAGGAATTCTCTAACAGAATGCTCTACTGAAGTAAGTAGACTTTACCAGTCACGATGCAGATGGTTGCTCGCCTTCGGACTGCAGGTTCTCAGCGCTAGATATCACACTTGGTTAGATACACCACGCTACACGCCTATCGGAATCGCATCAGTCCCTGAAGAAGTGTAAAGTCAACACAATCCAGGGAGTAGCAAAAGATGAAACCATTAGTGATAGTCTATTTCATAATCCTGGCCGTTGGGGTCAGACCAATCCGATTGTTACAGTTTACGTCACAGTTTTAGTACAAATCACTGTTTACTCCAAGAATGTGCCACCACACGGATGTGCTGCTAAGAGGTAAGACATAGAACTTCCGATTGATTTCGATCCGTTGCTGCAGAAATAAAATCTGCCACAACTGATAAGATAAGTACTGCACTATACTTGCATCCTACAGCTTTTGCCAGCAGGTTGAACAATTCAATAAGAAACAAGATGACGAGTTTCTGCATGTCCTTTGAGCAAGATCTCAGTGACAATAAATCAACAACGTGTCTGCTGTCCAAGATTTCTGAAGGGAGCAAATGGTTTGCTATCCGAATGCTGGATCCTCAACTTTGCATCCAAAAGAAACTTGTGCGACCTCTGAACTTGAACTGGTCTACGAAACATCCGGTCCCACAAGTCTGTCTGCCATTGACGTCACTTACCTGATTCCTTGACCCATTGACCTATTCCTCATCCAACCCCCCTTCCTTTGATTTCTATTTCTCTAAAGTGTATATAGCCCCGACCTTAACCTTTTCCACGTGATTTCTGCTACCACATAAATTTGTGATGTATTAGCCAAGAGGAACAATCACAGAAAACAAGCTTTGTTCGCTACCTTCTTCGTTCTCATGACTACCACAGGTATATTCAGCCAATAAAGTGTAGATCCCTGCAGAGATGGTCCAGTTTAATGAACTCATTTAAAAAATGTTTACTTGCAAATACTCAAGTAGTAATCCAGTTCCTAACTGGTAAAAGTGATGACTAACCTGCAGTTTCGGAAGAGATGAGTGGTAGAGTGGACAATCGAGCCAATGTCCCACGCAGTAAGAGATCGCTGTTTTCACGGAGTTGATCTGTCTGAACCCTGAGCAGAAGAGCGCAAACTAGTCTACCGGCAGCAGTTGCCCACTCAGCTGGACCAGAAGGATCCAACAGACGTGAAGTCACGTGCAAAATGTAGCCGATTCCATTGTTACCTGTGGGAAATTGAGTGTTATTGATCTTGTTTGAGTTCGTTTCAGTATCATAAATGAACAAAGACTATGAAATGAACTGAGGGGGAACTGGAGAGAGATGACGGGCAGTCTTACTTGAGTACACTAAATGGGTTTGTTCAAACGAAAATAGCTAGACATTATAAAGAGATATGATGACTTGTTTGACCGAACATTTTACATCACCATTGTAGTCCTTACACGCAGCGTTCCTCCCACTAGGGAAGCAAACACCACGGAAAACTCGCCCCATTAGCTAAACTACACATGAGCAAAACACTCTACAGAGTCAGCCACTCCAGAAAAAGACCGGTTTGACTAGTCCCACCAGTGACAAATATGCAGGCGATTTACCGGCCTTCGACAAAGTCGTGGGCGCACTGCTGTGGATTTGAAATGTGTCAAGAAATGGCGCTCTTCAGAATGCGCTGGTATTAGTTTCAAGCTCAAACCCGGACATGATAAAACTAATCAAACTTCAGACTAATCGCAGTTGGTACGAACATACTAATGGGAATGGACTGCTGCAGATTGAGATGTTGCCGTGCAAAGCCCCCCCCCCCGACACCGGTTTGACTAGTCCCACCAGTGACAAATATGCAGGCGATTTACCGGCCTTCGACAAAGTCGTGGGCGCACTGCTGTGGATTTGAAATGTGTCAAGAAATGGCGCTCTTCAGAATGCGCTGGTATTACTTTCAAGCTCAAACCCGGACATGATAAAAATAATCAAACTTCAGACTAATCGCAGTTGGTACGAACATACTAATGGGAATGGACTGCTGCAGATTGAGATGTTGCCCGTGCAAGGCCCCCCCCCGTATTTCAGCCAAGCTGATGTGCAAGTGTGTTGAAAATTCCCCGACATTATCGCTTTTGTCTTTGGCATTATCTCAAGGGAAATAGATAGACATCTTGAAACACTAAACGGTGTATTCGCTTGAAGAACATAACGAACGAGAGATTTTGTTGAGTTGTCCCATAAAATACGTGTTTATCTGTCCATACGTCTAATTTTCGGTTTGATGAAGATTCATGAACTAGACATGCCCAGTGAGTCTCAAGTAGGGTAAAACTGATGTGCCGTTCTAAAATTTTCATCAATCTCATTAGTAGCGTCGTATCAAGGTAGGCGGATTCTACCCTAGCAACGACTGAGAAGTGTTGTTATGAACAGTCCATTAACGACTACTGCTTTCCAACTGAATGAGGTCAATGAACGGCAATATATGGGGATATCGATCGCTGAATGGAACGACACTGAAAAAAAAATTTTTTTAAAACAATAGTCTTTAGTTTGGGTTTCCGACACATCATCAGGGACCATTAGAATCTGGTCAAAAGATCAATACTGCCGCACTGACCGATGCTGACAGAAACAACACAAGGCGAATGGAAAGTGTGCGCCTTCGTGTGCGGTATCTACGTTCAGTCACATTACTAGCAGTGTTTGAGGTATCTCTCACTTATCTCAGCAATTTCTCTCCATATCGATTGGCCTTGCCCCTACGGTTTCGCCACGATCGTTCTGGGGGTGCGACCAATAATGAACCAGTAGCCACGAGACTAGAGCACAGTAACTCTCGCCAGACAAAAAACACGGGGATATCCAGTCCCAAATATACACATGAAAAGAGAAAAACGAAGTGGAACAATCCCCGGTTTAAAGTCTAGAGCGCGTGAATACTATCCCACAGAACCATACGGAATCCACAGCAACAATCAGGGTAGGATGGAGTCGAAAGTTTTGTTCAGCCTTCCAACAGACTGAAAGAAGGGGGCGTCAAGCGCGTGTCAATGGGAGACAGAACTATAATCTTACATTTTTCTGCGTGGTTGCGAGATAACCCAAAACTATTTCAAATCCTACCCAACCCACTGAGTGAAAGGTTAATTACGCTCTCGATGTAGCCAATGAGCTTCCACGTTAGTCGTAAATCTACATACTCCGAGTGAACGAATCTCGGTGTGAGTGCGGTTAAGTGAATTGTGATACATCAAAAAGACTAGTGAGATCTAGTTTGACTAGTTCTCATGGAAGAGTGGGATTACTCGATCGACTGCTCATATAAGCCTAGCTTGCTGACTTCGACAACGGCTTTATGTACTGTTCCCTTCACCTCGAAAATAATAGATGGAGGACAAAGGGACATGGCAACGAGTTAACAGTTCCAGGGAATACACACCACTTCCTACCTTCATCGTCATGCCATTCCAGGACACGATCCACGCCAACCGCAAGGTAACATCGCAGCACTTCGCAGGAACGCTACAATGTAATTAGAATCGGGCGTAGCGTGTGAGGAAAATGACAGGGAAACTGGCAAAAAAAACAGCTCGCGAGCAACTTCCCAGCAGAAGTGTTGAACCGGCACCATAAAAAGTGGAAAACTCACTGAAATGATGATTGAATCTGAACTGGTGATTGCAACGTGCACCACAGCAGGAAATATGCGTTGCATAAAGATGGAGTTAAGAGCTGGAGTCGAGCCTCTAATCAGCACACAGAGCACCTGCATTGCTGCCTGAAGCGCAGAACAGAAAGAATTAGTAGAAACTGGAGAGTGAAAATGCAAAAGCCACCTTCGAAGACGAAGTTCCGAAGATGAGCTCATTCAATATGCAACAGAAGTGTCTTACGGATAAAGAAAAGGGATGAAGGAGTACTAATACAGAACTGTTCAGGACACGTTCCAGCTTCTTCAAGGACTCATGGAATACATTCAAACAGGTCACCAACCTCTAACGTAGCTTGTGATGCATCGCGTTCCTCATTAACAACTCAAGCTGAGAATCATTTGGGCAAAAAGGGATCATCTCTCATGCGATTGTTATGGAGAGTCAAATGACCGAATGAAATAACAAAACTATGCGTTTAGTGGAACTTGAGCAATTCTAGTGATTCTGTCAACTGAGCTAATCAAGCGACTCGGTTGAAGAGTGAATCTGGCTACAGTAGTTAACGCACTCCAAACCCCTTTGGCTGGCAAATACTGTGCGCGTATTTGCCTATTGATCCACTGGCCACGAAGGAATGTTCCGAAAATAACAAACAGCGTAAGCCCGCAGGAAAAACCAGAAAGAAGCGCACCGAGGTAAAAATGTCTTACTATTTTCCCCAAAAAAGACCCATAAATGAGGGAAAATATGTTGCTACTTGTATCCTAAAAGTTACCGTGTCAAGTACCACCCAGAAAATAACGAAAAAGAGCGTACCTAGAGAATAGGCACAAATGATAGGGCGATGGAATAAACAAGTAACCGTTAAGGCCTTTGAAGCCCAATTGGGAATTTTTAGATAAACGGAGTAGTGTTTCGTTTCAAAAACGGTATGAAAGTCGGTTGGAAATTCGCAAATGAGGGGATAGCAGACATCCTCCGAATCAACGCAGTCCTACACACAGCACCCTAGCAAAGTGATTGACCAAAATACTCGCAATTGCCACCTAGTCGACATCGATTTGTCCCACTCGAACCCTAGGGGAACGGGCACCTAGAATGCACCCTCTTGGAACGCCGCAAGATGAAATGTCATCGAGGATGGCTTGACACATGATGACCGCATTGCAAACTTCTCCGCTTAGGTACGCTTGCACCTGTAAGGCGTACCAAGTGGTCCACACAGTTTTACTGAATGTCAATGGGATTTTACACTTGATCCGGAAACCCCCTGGTGAACCAGTATGGTGGCCACACGCCTGCGTCACCAGTCATTAGGAACGCACGTTTTTGTGCTACCTAGGTGACCCATAAAATTCCAGTGTAACAATAACAATAATAATAATAACATCGACGCGGATTCTAGGTTACATCACTGGCTAAATCAACAGTCAGTACGAGCCCAGTGATGTTTTGGGATAATGTGTCAACTGTTTGCAACATGAGCAGTCCAAAGCCTTTCGTTCAATAGCCTAGGACATATTTATCGTCATTTCCACATGGAGGTCGGAAAGTTTTCATAAAGAAAACTACTCACAAGGTTGCTGAAAACTCTTCGACCTTGTGAGTAGTTCCCTTCATGAAAATATACTGCGATATCTCGAATATCGTGCCAACTGAAACATGAGGTGGTCTGTGTGCAGCACATTCAGTTCTAGAATATCATAAACGAGAGATTCCATTGAGTCTCTCGTAAAAAACAAATTGATTTGCAAACGAGTGTACTTCTCGAGATCAGAAAGTGTTTTCTCACCGGTCAGAGATGATGTGCATCAGATGGCATATTGCAATGGTAAAATCCGATATCATCAAGAAAATCTCGTCAACATAGGTGAAAGACATTACCGCGCACAACGTCGTCCAGGTTAGCTGTCGACGGTACGTGTAATCTACACGGTGCCGCAAATACACAAGTTTGAAGCATGCTTTCAGTAGTTTAGCAGCTGAAAATTTGTGATGAGTCGGAGTGGGAATCAAAAAGACTTGGATCATACTTGAGTAATCTAACGACGAAAGATATTCAGTTCTAGAGTACTAAGAAAGCTTCGCGAACTACGTTCAAGTTGTTCAAACACTGGAATTCTATCGAGAAACGTCACATTACCATATGTGTCCCACAACATTAGATGAGTTTCCAATGAGATACGCACTAAATCACTGTTTGTTAGGTTTGCTCGCTACTCAAACAAAAAGTGTATAATATTACGACACAACTTCACCAGCTTAGCCAGCTATCGACCAGTGTGGGCTATCGAATAATTGGCCTACACTTCGACATTCGACAGAGAAAGTTTACTCAGTACCTTGGATTTGAACGAGAAAATAAGAGATATTAGTCTGGGGCGGACGTGGTTACGCGTAAACACCAAACTATGAGAACAAAAAACACTTGGTTCTAAACTGAAGAGGAGGTTGAGAATGTGAACGAGACCAATGAGGGACGTGTATCGGGCTTTAGAATACCCGTTTAGGATACAAAGAGATCATGACAGAATGGGGTTGCTAAGTGTATATAACAGATATTTGGTTGTCTGAAAGCCTACGTAAGTGCCTCCGAAAGGCTGTGTAGATCGTGGAGGACAGAATTGAATGGAAAATCCAAACGGACCGTTATAATCAAAACTCCAAAACAGATAGCATTGATAAACAAGCTCGACTTAACAAAGAAGAACTGACACAACGGTTCGGAAGTGAAGTAACCCGTTAACCGAACTCGGCTACTAAACACCTGAGTACCCCCAAAACAAGAGCTGCAAAAAGCAGCTGGGGGAGATATTGCTGTTTCGTTCATTTTCCTCAGCTGCCAAGCTGAAGCTGAAAGCCCCCACGGATGAACAATATAGATTCTGCTTCCAAGGGAGAAAAAAGAAGACAGCCTCCTCAGAGTCTCACGATGTGCGATTCATTCTCCACGACTTGATCTTTTGTCCAGAAGAAGGTCGGTGTCAGCAAGAATATTTGCGAAAAGGTTGAATAGCATTGGTTCGTAGTGTTGAGGGACGGACTGAAAACCTGAATGGAAAGTTGAGACCGAAATTCCAGAGTGATTTATCACTCGGGGTTCCTAAAGCCATACTTTAAGGTTGACGCCTGCATAGTGCTAGTATCAGGCGAACGACAATGGGAGTTTTCCTCACTATCAAAGCTGCTTTCGAATCCGTCAGTTGTCTGGAAATACCGCAGTACGTGGTGATCAAACTGGCCTCATCAATGGGGGTGACGGCTAACTCCTGTGAGTACGTATGATCAAACGAAAAACTTTTACGAGTTGATCATGTCTAGTGACGTAGTACCAGAACGAATTTCCTGACTATTGGTTAACTTTATGTAAGGCCTGAAACCCTGTTGTCTATCTTTGACAGATCGGCGGCATAAATGCTCCCAAATCGTTTGCATACTAACACTGAATAAACAGATAAAAACTTCTCCCCTTGGTTTAGATCCTGCAGAGATACAAGCCAAGGCAGATAACCTATATAGCTCGGCATGAGCTTCACACCAGCAACTTACTGTTTTTACTATAACTGATGGAGACTAGCACAAAACTGATACTTGCGGACCAGCCAGATAAAATGGTCTGATCGGTAGTATAAGTTTTGGTGAATGGCTGGTATCTCGGGTCGAGAAGCAGCATTCGCCAATCTTAGACATCTGTGGGGGCTCCTGATGTCAGTTTGTCTGCAAAGGACATCTTGGTAGTATGATCAATACAATACGACAACGTTGTCCCTCATACGGTGTATGAATCAAGGCTATCATGACGAATACGGAGAGGCCCTGAGCAGCAGATATCCAAACCATCACAAACGTCATCGTTGAGGGAGTTGAAACGAGTGTGGTGTTTAGAGATCTCGGCTTTGTACACCTCTAGTGATGCAACGCCCACAATCCGTCGGAGACGCCAGTGATAAAAACATTCCCGCTTTTAGGTATCTTCCACTCACAGACGGTATGTTCGCAGACATAAATCAGGACTCCACAGCTAGATGCGCTGAGTGTGCGGATTTTCCTGCATAAACTAACCAAATTTCTTCTCTACAATACAGAGTTCACTTGTACGAAGGCTCGTCGGGCATTGTCTACACGCCGTTGAAATGCAGCTTTAGTCTGTCCGTTGGGTAAGATAGTGAAACCAAGGTATTTGAAGCCAGAAGCCTGCTGAACTACTTGAACACTTTTCCAGAAGGGTGCAGTAAACAATCGGTAGTTTCAACTCTTATGCTGAGAGGCTAAATGGACACGATCCATTGACCCAGGAACTCCTATGTTAATTTAACTGAACTCCAACGAATGTGGGGAAAGCACAAGTCACACTGGTTCGACATACTGCGCATATCAGTGCACTTTTATCCACCCATGTGTTGACAGAGTGAACAGTCTGCGATCTACCGACGAGGTTTGAAAGCCCCAACTAGTACTCAGTCACCTTGACGTCTGCCACGTCTCCGGATGGGAAATCCGGGACTCAACCATCAATGGCAACACAAAGGAACATGGCTCAGTTACAACTTGATAGGTATTAGCTAGTAGGTGTTAGCAGCAAGATGTGCAGTTAGGATCAACCGCCTAACGGTAAACAACGACGCACCGGTCAGTGCAGAGGACCGGCACTTTCGGTTAAATGTAAAGTGCAGTCACTGTTGGGGTAAGTTGGAGAATGTGTAGCACAGTGGTTCTAAGCCGCTTACTTGATCAATGGTACACAAGATGTCAGTCCCACTATAGCATTGAAGGTTGACAGGAAGGTCAGATTCCAGAATACCGGAAGCTGCTGAGACCCTAAAACCCCACCAAAATTTCACCGGGGAAGCCGGCGAGCATCCAGGCCAGTCAATCACTCAATCACTTCAGCAACAGCCGATGAGTGTCAAGACGCGCTACAGAAGCACGACCGACTGTGTTCAGGATTTCATAGAAGCCCGGTCGATGTTGATGGGTGATCACTAAACGCCAATCAGACAGCCTGGATCAATGTCAGAAAGTGCCCTTTAAATGGCGCGGTGCCGTTGTAACTTTTGCACTCGCAAACTTGTTGCAATAAAGCTGCTGAGTACCTTGTTGGTGAGTCTTTTTTCCGGCACTAAGGCACTGGAGTGGGGAGAGCAGTCAGATACGATAAAGGTGATTCATCAAGAAACATCAAATCGATTCAAGAATATTAAACAAGAAACGGGAGAAAGACTTGAAGTTATTGCGATTCGAAAATTGGATCTGGTATACTTCATTGGAATCGGCAGGCAAATTTCTTGAGAAAAGCATCAGAAAATTCAATATATTGGATAGAAAACGATACTCTAGCAAACTAAGCATAAAAACGATGCGGAATATTCTAGTGTGGGTCTCGACTTAACTGCTGGATATGTTTGGAAAAAAAGCTGTTAACGGTTCAACTCCCTTTTGTGTTCAGAAATAAACTAGGAAAATGCACACAAATTTTCACTGGTGATCGATATGGTGTGAACGAAATCAGCATAATCACCGGCGTTTAAGTCCAGTGTTGTCCATAATTTAGATTAGTAAATGCAAGTGACACTGTGAGGCGGAAACGAACGAAAGCCACCTATTCGTGTCATACAACAGATAGGAACACAGAAGTCGGGTGAAAATGAGACGACTGACTGAGGAAAACAGCCGAAAAGCTTTCGTTAATAACAACTGGGTCTGACGCAGTCACCTATTGTCTTCATTCACTCACGATGCATGAAAAGTAGGGTGGGTGATGCCGTTTCTGAATAAACGCGTCAACTCACCAAGCTGTTATATAAAACTAAGGAAGCTACAAAGAAGGCGGAATAGTTCAATTTCTCGAAAACGTCGCGTGCATCATCATCGTAACCATCTTAATCTATAAACAGTGAACAAGTAGTACATTCACTCAACCACCCAGGATTGTGCTCACTGATGAGGGATGGATAAGACGAGGGGGCACATATTACATGTGACCGATCAAAGTATTGTACTACAACCGCGGTAATAAAATCAAACGAGATACAAGCGAGTTTTACTCTCGACTTAAGAATGGGCCAGCCAAGAGTTGAAGACAATAGGTTAGGTACATGCATATGATCAGGACAGCCTATTTGTGTTTCCAAGCTCTGATGCGGCGAGTATTGAGCAAACCGGCTAGGAAGAATGCATCACAAACGAGTTTGCTAGTTAAATTCTCCACCCTTCATCATGTAATTTCGACCACATCACCCTCATTTTGCATAGTGTTGAGTGAAGATGGTTCCACTGACAGACCGTCTTCTGGCAACTGAAACAGGTGAGCAAGTTGGCGTGATCCGTAGAGTGTTGCCTGCCCACCTATATTGTGTGAGTTGTTCTCTCCTAAACCGTCGGACGTAATTCAGCATTACAAACCCCTCGTTCCCAGTTGTTCCGAGTCTATGAGTTGCTTACCACTAGCAATTACACCCAGTGTGAACTTTACGCTTGCAAAGGAATGTTCAGTCAGCTATCAGGGGTAACAAGTTTCCTTAACGAACCAGAAGAGTGAAGAGCCAAGCGGTTTTTCACAAAGCTCTGAATGTTTTTTGCTGCATCTTACCAGCTACACACAACAGTAAGCCATTCGGGAGTTAGTCAGAAAGCAGATGCGGAAGATAGTTCGTCAGTTACACAACTTTTAAAATGGTGAGTTGTGTCTCAGGGGGTTGGCGTTAATTAATGGAAATACACCAGGATTTTGCGTTCACATCAATTTGCTTTAAGTAATCGTCCTTCTGTCCTGGTGCAATTATTCTGGTGAGTCCCCACCAGAGGACGAGAGCACTAAAAACAAATTTCGCTCTAGTCAGGGTTCATCGGCAGTGCATATCCTGAGCCGTATTAGAATTTGAAATCCGGACATCTGACATGCGAAGCGAGCATGTTACCACTACTCGATCAGCTCAATTTGGGCGCACCCAAATTATTACGCCTGGACGGGTGATGGTAATCACGCTTGAGCGATGTGAATCCAGTGCTCCACATCCTTGGTATGGACTCACTAGTATAACTGCGCCGGGACGGGATAAAGACTGTTCAAAAGAGAATGAGGTGGATGCAAATTCTACGAACGAGCATCAGAGCTTCTTAAGGTGACTACGGCCCCGAATGTGGAGTTAGATTTGAGATTAACACAAGAGTTCTGAGACATCCTGTGACAACAGGATGTGAAGTAGCTCCAGACCTTTTGGATATTTTGTTCTGTCTTGGAGCTGTGCAGTGGAGTAAGGTGTCAAAGTGAGTGGACTAAGCACATTCGGTTGCAAACGGATAAACTACTAACCTGATCATATCCGACACGCTCGGTCACTGTCTGTGTCTAGTTTATCGCGGACAAACCAAAGGACTCCGCTCTGACACGAAAAAAAAAGCTAGGAAATCAACCACACTGTTGCTCGAACCTAAAAATCGAGTCAATGATGCCTGGCGAGCAACTGGTTCAATAACCAAATGATCAAGTTTTATCCAAATGATCCAGCTGAGTTTGGAAGTGTGGGTTGGTAACTACAAATGCGTCTGGTGGTCGGGGCTACTATTTCAATCAAGTGTAGAAGCATTTCGAGACAAGTCTGTGTACACTGCCTGATTGCTGGCGCACCAACTTCAAGTAAGTCACTATTCAGCACTTCACGTGTTAGAGTAGTCACGCCATGTGGATGACACCAACGATGAGATTTTCCAATACACATAGAAACGCGAACTGTATGAATCGACAATGACGAATTTTACCGTGTGTGTGAACGAGCACGTTTCGTACATCGATTACGGTTCCAGTTGCAGGCATGTTAGAGTAGCGAAGCGTCCGTGGTTTCAGTCCAGGTTTGATTTCAGTCTGCCGAATGACCGGTCGATCCATTGGTCAAAGAACACGGATTCCCTCAACAGCTAGAAAATACCCCACGGTTACTCGTAAACATAATGGCACTTAGGTGTTTTTCTTTCTCGGATTGTGTGGTGAAAATGAATAGCTCAAACTGAAGAACACAAGGTATCACACGGTATAGAGGTCATCGAGTTATGAAGGGCACCGGATATAGAATCACGGACATCATCCGCATTCCAGGAAAGCTGGAAATAGGACGTAAATGGAATGTTCTATATAGGATAAGACGGAACATTATGGACGCATGACGTGATCGAAGAAGTGAGTTCGCTAACCTCAACTACAACGGACTCCAAAGTGTCTTGTTGCTCCAAACAAGTCAACAACATCGGAAGGAAAGCTTGTTCCAACGCCTCTGATGACGACTGATTGCCCGTCTCCTGAATGGTATGTAGAATGTCCAGGTACACGGAGAGTGTGCTTGCAACTTTAATTAGAATGAGAAGGGCGTGGGAATTGGTTAATAAAAGTCACATTTGACAGCTCAGCAAGTCTTGCCTAAAAAGCCTATCCATATGTATCTTGTGTTAAGAATTGAAAGAGACTGACTGTCACTACATTGTCTCTATTTCCAGACAGAGTATTGAAACACAAGTGATTCTACTTGTATACTACCAAACGCTCCCTGAAACTTTTTTCTAGTAATCAACACAAGCATTTGATAATGTCAACCTCAATACCACAGACAACGAAGCAGCCAGGGCACAAGTCCCTGGAAGTCAGTGATTCGAGTCTAGCCGTGACTTTTAGAATGCTCCTGTGACCAATCCTGATACCTGTACAGTAAACTATGGAGGTACACAAGGGGCCACTATTTCCCTCCTAGCAAAGTCAGACAACTAGTCAGTTACGGAAATCATAAGTTGGGTGCTACAGTTGGTGTACATCTAGCCAAGGAGTCCCCGAAGTACACAATATTGGTACTTCTTCCGAATGGAATGCAACAATGAGAAATGGTTACTAGGGTCAGTATTTAAGCATTCTGTATCATGAGTAAGTTAAGAAATAGTTTTAATGCAAGATCTTTGTCACAATGACCGGATTACCACAGTAATCCTGCGATAAACGAGAGTGTCACAACGAAAGGAGGATGTACACAAAATTATGACTAACTGGTAGCAGTGTGAGTCCACCACTTAACTGGATTCCTTTCGGTGGCTACCACTAAGAGTTTGAAGGCTTTTCGAATGCGTATCAACCTAAAATGTTTAGTGTTCGATAAATAAAGGTGTTAACTCAACTAACTAATAGCAGTTTAATTTTGGACAAGTCAACAAAATTCCAGGTCAGGGAATGCTGCATTAACCTTTCTTCCCTGGCGAACAAACTGCGCAACTTATTTGTATGCAAAGGAACCGCTGAGTACGTCATCAACGCTGCCCTATCCAGGCAGAACTTATCTCGCGAACTGGATTTTTGTGGTCAATCTAGTCGATTTCTCCGAATTCTCGAATTATCCGCAAAAGGGTCTTTTGAAATTGTTGATACAAATAAATTTGGTTTAACAGTCAAGTAACTAGATTACTGTAGTTATCGAGCGGTGAATACAAAAATCAACGGCATTGCCAAGAGAGAAACATATAATTGTACAGCGGCACAGATAACTGATGGAGCGATAATCAGAACACTCATATAGTCAGAAATGCGATTCACACAACTGGTGTTCATGGTGACGGTTGTATGAGAGTCACAACATCGTCACTAAGAGAGAATAAGAAATGCACTAACTAACCGCTCAGACAATGTTTGAACAAATCGACCATAATCGCGGTAACCTGGTTCTGTGCTGACAAAGTAAACCCTTGTGGATCGATCCGTAAAACAGCGTACAGGGCGTACAATCCATCGTCCAGAATAGGTTCTCCGAAGCTTGACAAACAATCGACCACACTAGCGACCAAATTAGGTAAATGTTGTGTGATGGCAGACATAGGGGTCGACGCTGCCGCACAAACCTGACGCAGGCGACTTCCCACACTACCCAATGCCTTGACAGAAGCCACTCTCAGAACGGAAGGTTGTGACTGTGACAGTGCATCAGCCAAAACAGCCGGAAGACTGAAAAGTGGGGAAAACGTGCACGCCGATTAGTGGACAGAAAGCTAATTATCGGGGATTGTTAAGTTTAGCAAAGATGTCACTGTCTGAAAGCCGGTGGCAGGGATAGCTTCAAAATTAGTTCCAGAAATCGGATTTAACAGCTTGCCGCCAATCGTTAAAAATTAAGGGTATGTGGCAGTAAAAGGCGTGAGAAGACGGTACAACAATCTTTGTGAGGTGCAACTAAGCAAGTTCAAACAGAGCATGTTGGATACTAGGAGTTGAAGGCTAACAGAGGGAGATTAACCTGTGTGTTTGATTTGTATCCATACTAGCATTACTATAGTAGGGTGCCATGGTTAGCTCGTATGAAGATGCCTTTTAAATTTGTTACGCTGTTCGAATCTCGTAGAAAATGCAAGGATTAAATCAGTGATTTTCTGGTTTGGCTGATGCACTGGAATGTCAGGAATTTTGAATACTAGAGAACAGTGAAGCGTTATTCTCCACTTTTTGGGATCCCCAAGCAACATTTGGTACGGACAATGCTTAAGTATTTGCTATACAAACAATCCCACTGGTCTCAGACTGGTACATAGATTTCGACTGTTAACAAATATACAATACCAAATCAAAACAAATAGTCTGGCTATGTGTTTAAATACAACACCATTCAGGGGGGCAAGGGTCCCGATACGGTCAACTGGCCCAGCGATGAGCAATGAAAAGGTTAGCAGTGGAGTCGTATCAGAACCACCTGAAATATATCTAGCTTTAACACTTTTGCATACTGAACCTTTGCCCAAAGTAAAATCAGGTTCACAGACCAATTAACAAGTCAACCAGATTTAAAACGACGTCATTGTAGTCAAACCGGCGTGCCCATCAAAAAGAAAGTATGTTCAATGAATGTCCGTATGTTTAAATGAGCTGAGGCAACAAACGGCAACTGGCACCAGCACATATTCCTTTTCCAAAAGGACTGCAATTCTTTCCTATTGGCCAGTTACACTTTGTATATGTTAAAGAATGTATCGTTCCCCGAAGTCGTTCTATATATATA